CTGTGGACTCTGGTTATTAAACCCAGACAACGATGTTTATATCTGGCTCGGTACCCGAGGCTCAGCGGTAGGGTGCCAGCCACGTGCATGGAGGCTGGTGGGTTCGAACCCGGCCTGGGAGAGAGAGGTGCTGGAGAGCCAAGGAGACTGATACTGATTTGACTTAGGATGAAGCACTGAGTTTAGGCACAGACATTAAGGGTGACAGGGAGCTTTGCGCCCTTCTTAGTCTGGGGCCACACCTTCTACCCTGGGAGTCAATGGCAAGGTCAGGTGAGGAACACAGAGCTAATCAGGGTGGGGAGACTGAAGAAACTGTAGCAGACTCACAGCCGCCACTGATGCGTACAGCAGAGGTCAGCACGAGCCTGTTCTATCATACTGGGAGTCTGCTTGGTCCTGCCGGTTTCCACTAATGGTTGTTCCATATGCATCAGTGATCGTCCAAGGAGCTTGGTGATTTCGCCTGTATCTTTGGAGATGTTGTTGCTGTAGTTTCTCAATTCCATCCCCAGTCTCTCTACTGTCCAATTCGACTTGTCCTGGCCAACTAGTTGTCTGAATACCAGAAAAGATATACCTGTCATGGCCACATCTGGAGTTTTCCTTGAAAGCCAGACCTGGGCCCTGGCACCTCCCACCTCTATGGGCAGGATCCTGGACTCTGAGCACCCGGGGTCCCTCCCACAGACCCCGGGCACACTTTCCTGTGCACCCATCAGCGTAGCCTCCATGTAACCTCACCTTTACTCACAACCTGCAGGGTGTCTGTGGGGAGACGAGTCTTACATCAGTACCACTGTGAAGACAGCTAGCACATTCCCAGCAATCAATTCTCTGCAATCAATCAAACACATAAAAGACGTGTTTACTGTTTACCCAACTCAGGGAAGAGGCCACCATGAGGATGAGATTCGAGGTGAGGATCAGTCTTCCCAGTGGCTCAGAAAAGGAGGCCCAGGCACAACCAGCAGCTGCCAGCCACGTTCATGCATAGTGCACTGGGCTTTTCCCCTAGAGAATAGTGCATCCCTGAGATTGCACGGAGGTCTATGTAATGTGTGAAGTGGGAAGTGTGTAATGTGATGGGCTTTGTCTACATTTATTTGGAGAAAATCAAAATCACAGCACTCAAGGAGGAGGATGGAGCAGAGCCCAGGCCTGCAGGAAACCCCCAGTCACGGGCTGACCATGAATCTGGAGGTCCCAGATCCAGGACAACCTGAGTATGCTGAATGTACCTGTTTCAATCATTCGGCAACAATGAATGGGCCTTTTAAAACGTTAGCAGCTTTCTTGCTATTATTGGTGTCCACTCCCACTAACTTCTCAATTTAGTAACCTGTTATCAGCCTGAGCCCAGGTGAATTAATCCTGGGGTATTCTGCTCTCAGGGAGAACAACTGATCTGTCCCTATGCCAAAAACCAAGATAAGACGTGTATCTTTTTTTCTGCAAGATTGGATTTTGCCAACTTGCCAGGGATTTTATAACAAGAAATGTAACCAGACTGGGAAAAATCCTCTGACGTCACAATATTGAGAGATCAAGGCCTAGACTGCCCGCTGACCTGCTGGCGTCAGCGCAGCCTCAGGAGCCATTATTCGCTGCCTTCCTGAAGTGCAGGGGACCCACCTTGCCCTGAGGCTGTGGCTGGTGTCACGGTTGTCCTTGTGCTGCTTGTCATGGCTGCACCATGCAGGGCCAGGGACCTCCCAGGTCAGCATGTTATGTGGCCAGTGCACTGGACACCTGCTGCTCTCAGCCACATCTGTCCTCCCCAGCCCTGTGAGGCCCCATTCTGCCTTAGTCAGAGGGAATGGTTTTGTTCCTCTAGGGGTGGCCTGTCTTCTTTCTGTGACTTCTTACAGAGGCTTCCACAGGACCTGCTGGGATGCTATGATGCTCAATTATCCTTTAATATGCCGTTCTCCCCTCCCCCACACTCAGCAGGAGCTACCGGAGGTGGAGCCAGAGAATGCAGTTGGGCAGAATACGTAGGATGAACCACATTTCACACCTTCCTGTTGCCATAACTTTCTTGACTCCCACCGGCCCCTCCACGGCCCTGCTTTCCTGTGTAACGAGCATGAAGTCTGGCTGCTTGGACTGTGGCCCGTGAGTCCTCTCATTACGGGGAGAATGAGGCTCCCAGGGGCCTCCCATCCTGTCTGCTAGGAACTGCTGGGTTTCTAACGAAAACACGATGCCCTGAACACAGAACCTGAAGCAGAGGCCACCCCTTCCTGCACAGAGGCCTCACAAACCAGCATGTGAAAAGCAGCCGAGGGCGATGACCTCAAAGGAGAACCACAAAGGGAAAGAATGCGTCAACCATCCCTCAGCCGCAGCCCAGCCGGCGCACTGGCGCACTTCACCTCCACTTCCCCAAGTGTGAAAGAACAATAATGCCCTCCTTCCCTAGACTTGCTCCAAGAATTAAAAATATAAAGTACATATAATCGGGGCTCAATAAATAACCATTCCCTGCTCCTCCCTTTCTTATCTTAAAGGAATTAACATGGCAGGAACGTTAAGACAGGGATATCTCCAGTTCTAGAGATGTTCACGGGTAGTGGGGAGACAAGTGAATAGCCCCTCATGATAACTCGCAGGAAACTCTGTGCAAAGGACTGGAGGCCGAGAGTTGCAGTGTTTAGTAGAGTGGATGGAACACATAACGTAAGGGGAAGGGGGCTAGATGGGTCTTGCTATTATGCAAGCTTTATTTGGTTGTCTAGGAAGGGAGCAAAAGATAACAATGGGTTAAACAAGACCAAAATTGTTTTCTCTCCCTAAAACAAAGTAAGGACATAAGTAGTAAAAAGCTGGTGGCTCCATCATCATCCTAATGGCTCCTTCCATTTCATGGCTTGACCATCCTTGTGGTCTTCGTGGCCCAAGGTGGCTGCTGGAGCTCTAGCCGTCATCTCTCTATACTAGTCAGTAAGAATGACACAAGAAGGACATGCCCCTTCCATCCTATTAGTCAAAACTTAGTTCCAGGCCATCACCTAGAGTGGGCTGAGGCATTTCTTTTTTTTTTTTGAGACAGAGCCTCAAGCTGTCCCCCTGGGTAGAGTGCCGTGGCATTATAGCTCACAGTAACCTCCAACTCCTGGGCTCAAGCCAGTCTCTTGCCTCCGCCTCCCAAGTAGCTGGGACCACAGGCGCCCGCCACAACGCCCGGCTATTTTTTGGTTGCAGCCGTCATTGTTGTTTGGCGGGTCCGGGCTGGGGATTCGAACCTGCCACCTTAGGTGTACGTGGCTGGCGCCTTAGCTGGTTGAGCTATATGCGCCGAGCCGGCCGAGGCATTTCTGAGTGTAGCAGTTTGGGGCAGAGGGAAGAAGTTTCCTGGTGTGGCTTGCTGGTGCCGGGGTAGGCAATATGAACTATTAAATATTTTGTCCTGTCCAGCGGTTCCCAGAGGGATGTGAGCAGAGGCCTGCCTTTGCTTCACCCCCTCAGCCTAGAGCAGCTCCCAGGTAGCATCTGTGGAAAGACATAACGCCAGCGCGGTGGCTTACACCATAATCCTTACACTCTGGGAGGCAGATCCATTGAGGTCAGAAGTTCAGGACGAGCCTGAGAAAGAGCAAGACCCTGTCTCTACAGAAAATAGAAAAAAGTTATCCAGGTGTGGTGGCGTGTGTCTATGGTCCCAGCTCCTCGGGAGGGTGAGGTAGGGGGATTGCTTGAGCTCAGGAGTTTGAGGATGCTGTGAGCTGTGATGATGCAGTCCAGCCTCGGCAACAGAGTGACACCCTGTCTCAAGCAAACAAAGACATGAACTACCCATAGCTGTCTGGGGCAAGGGACTGCAGATGGGCTAAGCAGCAAATAAACCAAAAAGCCTGGGAAGGTGGACACTGAGGGGGAAGATGTTTGGGGGAATAAGGGCTTCGAAGGGCTACTGAATACTCTGGAGAATCCAAACTACAGTGCTTAGGCCCAGGGCCACATATGCTCAGAAAAGATGTTGGGAGACCCAGGCATGGCAGCACACACCTGTAGTCCTAGCTAGTAGAGGGAGGCTGAGGCTGGAGGTTGCTTGTCCGAGGAGTTCAAGGCTGTATTGAGCTGTAATAGTGTCACTGCACTCTGGCCTGGGTGACAGGGGAAGATCGTATTCCTAATAAATAAATATTTATCTTTGTCCCCAGTTCCCAGCACAAGCTCCTAAAGGCTGAAATCTCAGGAATGATAAGAGTGATTTTGGTATGCTGATGAGATAACTGGTGGCCGGGGACCTCTAATGACCTTCAGGATAGGTGCTAGTGGCTAAAAAGAGCAAGGAGTGGGCCAGGCACGGTGCCTCACTCCTATAATCCTAGCCCTCTGGGAGGCCGAGAGGGTGGAGGAGGGTGGATCGTCTGAGCTCAGGAGTTCCGGACCAGCCTGAGCAAGAGTGAGACCCTGTACTAAATGGTTAATTTTATGTTCTGTGAATTTAATCTTTTTCTTTTTTTAAGTAAAACTATTCATACAATGCCAGAGTATTGACAATCTAAATCCTGGAATCACAAGCCCCTAGGCCAAAACCCCGGTCAAGTAGCAATTTCATCCCTGTTTAGGTTTATCCCGACCGCCCCAAAAAACAGACCATGAAAATTCTCCTGATACCAGCTCATTTCAGGCCACTAGGGCTCCCTTAATGAAAGTAAAACCATCAGAGAGTGAGGGGAGGCGGGGACGCGGACCTAAAACGAAAATAAGAGTGTTCACGAAGCAAATACCCCATCTACCCGTGGTGCTGCTAGGCCCGCCACCCTGAACCACGTAAGCCTTGGAGTCTAAGGTCACTGCCCGGTTCCAGTGGCTTGATCCTGCCACCCGCGCGGCGTGTTAAGCAACAGGCCAGGCCCTTCCGCGCTGGGGGGCTCCGGCTTTGGAGGAGGCGACCAGCGAACTTGGCAAGGCCCAAGGGGCGGAGCCGGGGCGGGGCCGGGGCCGGGGCGGGGCCGGGGCCGGGGCGGTCTGGGCGGGGTCTGCGCCGGCGCCGGTCAGGCCGGGCGATCCGCCAGCGGCGTAAACTGTGCGGGAGCGCGGCCGTGGAGCAGGTGAGCGGGCGGGGTTGCGGCGCGCCGGCCGGGGTCCCGGGGGCCGCGGCGCGGAAGGCCCCGGGTGGAGCTGCGGCCTGCGGGACCGGGCTCTGCCCTCCGCACGCCCCTGGCCGCTGTTCCTTCCCCGGCTCTGGGGCTGCGGCCCCTGCGTGCGCCACGCTCCTGGCCTCTGCGGCCGGCGCGGGGACCAAGAGAGGAGGATCCGGAGTGAAGCCGCGGTGGGGACTGGCGGGGAACTGGGGCGCGGGAGGGGCGCTAGCCGCAGTCTCCGGGCCTTCTGTCCAGCCGTGTCCTAGTCCCCGCGCCCTCCTGTCGCCAGAGCCCCTGCCGGGGGTGGGGCGCGGAGCGAGCTGTTATACGGCCAGTGCATTTAAAGGAGCAGTGCACGTGGGTCTCCGGGCGTGTGGCTGGGGGCACTTTGTTCTTTGCTCCTGCTTGAGACTTCACCTGCGCCCAGTCCGTTTGGCCTGCAGCATCTGGCCCCCTGGGCATGTTTGGCGGGTGCTTATCTCACTGGCGGTGTTTGCTGTTTTATCAGGCACTTAAAGCTGTGGGGAGACACCCAGAATCGAGCTTTTAAAGCTGAAGGAAACTGAAACAGAAGCTAGTGTGGACCCAGAGTTTTACTGACGAAGAAACTGAGCCCACAGAGTTAAAGTGACTTTGCCCAAGGTCACCCAGGTAGGATGCAGCAGGGCTAAGCTGAGACCCCCGTGTCCTGACCTCTCGTTTTGCGGCCCATCCCTTGGACCAGGTCCTGGCCCTTTTCTAGTTAGATGAAATGTCCCTGTTTGTTGGCTTAATAAGTATTCCCATATTACTTCAGTTCATAAAAGGTTTGAACTGTGGTGAAGTGTGATTGGTGAAGTAACCGGCATCCCCACTTACTGACGGAGAACCTGAGAGCTTCCCCTATTAACAATGCAGACCAGTTTGACACAAAATCGACAGGCCGGGCTGTGGGCAAAGAAATCAGATCAGGATTGACCCCAGCTCCCAGGAAGTAGGCCCCATAGTCTCTTCTGTAGACATCTGAGCTCCAAAAGCTTCAGCCAAGATCTTTGGCAGTAATTAAAGGCTTTGGAGAAGCTGTCGCCCCTCTGCTAGATGTGTCTGTGTGGGAGCGGTGACCAGCCCAGCTGGTGAAGGACCCAGGGTCCTGGCCTCAGCTCAGAGCTGCACCCTCAGCAAGTGCCCAGGCAGGAGGTCTGGCTCAGCCTTGGGTGGGCCTCGGGTTCCAGGGCAGAGGCTGGAGTGAGGGCTTGTGGGCATGTTGCTTCAAAGTGGGATGGATGTTGTTTCTGGTTTGGGGGGGAAACTGTATCTTCTGGTGGTCAAGTTCCTGGACACCTAGGTGCCCAGTCTCAAGTCTGACATGTTCGTGTGTGGGAAGTTAGTGTTGCTGTCTATTTGAAGAAGCAGGGAAGGAAGAGGATGAGGAAGGGCCTAGTCAGAGGCTGCTGCTCATTGTGCCTGGAAGCCTAGTGTATACAGTCATGTATGTGTCCCCTCCCATCCCCTCTCCTTGGCTGCCCATAACCCCACCAGACATTTGCCAAGGGAGAGACTCTCACCTATCTTAGCCTTTTTTTAAAAAAATTTATTGATGTTAATAATAACATAACTACCATGTTTATGAGTTCCTCATATACAGTAAAAAGCTATTTTGTACAGTAATTATCAGTTATCTTAAGATTGTCAATGACACTAAAGTAGTTATTATTTTTATTTTATTTTATTTTTTGAGACAGCGTCTCACTGTCTTGCCATGGCTGGAGTGCTGTGGCATCATAGCTCACTGCAACCTCAAACTCCTGGGCTCAAGCGATCCTCCTGCCTCAGCCTCCCAAGTAGCTGGGACTACAGGTGTGTGTCACCATGCCTGGCTAATTTCTCTATTTTTTAGTAGAGACAGGGTCTCACTGTGTTGCTCAGGGTGGTCTTGAATGCCTGGCCTCAAGTGATCCTCCCTCCTCAGCCTCCCAAAGTCCTGGGTTTTCAAGTAGTTGTTATCCTTTTACAGAAGGGGAAACTGAGGTTCAGGGACTTAAGCATCTGGTCCAGTTACGTAGTCTCAGTGCCTTTGAGCACCAGTGGGCTGCATTGTCTTTATCTTTGAAGTTTTTACACAGGAAGCTTCCTGCTTTCACCCTCTATCCCCATGTCTCTCCACTGCTGCCTAGAGAGTTTCTGTGGCGTCTCCATGAGCAACCTCCTGACAAACAAACAAACAAACAAATATTTTTTTCCCCCCCAAAGAAACTGAAGCAGTATGTATGTGTAGGTCCCGTGCTATGTTTCAGCTGTTGCTTTGACTTTGGGGCATTGTTTAGTTGTGAACTGACAAGACAGCAGGTGTTTCGGCAAGTATTCCCACCTGTTCCTGGGCTGCTGCAGCTGGGGGAGGACTGGCAGGGCCGAAAGGCAGGCTCCCCTGGGAGGCACATTCTCCCTACTTCCAGCTGGCTGGACTTGACATGGGCTTCAAGCCTGGAGATGGTCTGACCACCAGGTTAATATCTGGGGAAAAGAATGGTTTCACATCAGTTCTCAGGAAAGACCACATGTCAGTGGATCTTTGTTTTATAGCCTCTCCATTGGCGGGGAAGATGGGCTGCTTATTCATCTTTGCTGAATTTCAAGAGCAGGGAAGTAAAAATGTAAAGGGTGCCTACCTTTCTGGTATACCTTAACCAGAAACTTCCTGGCTTTTTTTTTTTTAATAAAGGTGATACATGTTCATTCTAGCAAATAGAAGAAACATTTTATGAAATGATCCATTAGCCTTCAGCACAGAGAGAACCACTTTTCTTTTTTTTTTTTTTTTT